CTTCGCAGGTCTTTGTATCGCCCTTTATGGCCCATACCGCACTCAGTCAGCACCAACGATCCAGAATGTTAGTAGAAAACGTACAGCGCTCCAAAAAGGGCATGATAACCTGCAAAAGGCAAGCTCACCTTCTTTACTTGTACAGACTTCGCCGGTAACGCGGTTGGGTGGAGGAGGGGATGATAGGGCATGCGGCGGAGCCTCTGCTATGCCTATTCGTTTGAGCATCCCACCGAGACAGTGATCCTCTTCCCCCCCCCCTGCTCAACCTTAGACAGCTGCCGGGGCGGGTCTGAACTCACAAGGGCAGTGCACGTCGTGCTTTGGGGATTCCTAGCGGGGATTCGTACAAGAGAATGAATTTGAGGAGGTAGCAGTAGCTTGCAGATTTCCCCCTAATGCGCCCTGACAGAGATTGTCAGTGGTCGTCGAGGTGCTATCTGACTCCGAGAGGAATTTTCCTAAGCCGCGAACCCATCCTCATACTGTATCCTTTCCCCAGTCACTTCAACCGTCAGTATTTTTAAAAATTTCTGCTGCTCATCACGGTGAACGCATACAGGCATTTATAAACCAGAGTGGTTCTCCCACTAACTGCCGCTCCAAAAAGCTCCAGTTGGGATAATTGGGACGTCGTTGCTCCTGTTAGGTTTCTAATATACTAAAATTGAATGTTTCCAGTTGCGCAGAGTTCTCTACCAACAGTGAAGCTTGAAACGGATGAGTCAGCAGCTGGACCAAGCGGTTTTGACAACTCAATTGCGGCACTCGCAGAAGGGCTTCCTATGCCGTCGTCGGACCTGTTGTCACCTGATGGTGGTGCAGATGGAGCTGATAACAGGAAGGCGAACAACGTATGTGTTATAGCATTCGTTAAAAAATTCGTTCGAAAAAAGGATAATTTATTGATTTGTTTTTGTTCAAGGGCAGGGGCACGATTGCTGGAGGCGGGCGGTTGTTGCCAGCGTCATTGGTGGAAGGGCTGCGAGAGGGCATTTGGTCACACCCCACTCAGCCCTTCCACCAATGACGTTGGCGACAGCCGCCCGCCCCCAGCCATCGTGCCCACTACTTTTGAATGAAAAGCTTCTTGTTCTTCGCTGTCCAAATTGTGTCTCATATTCTTTTCCAGAAGAAAAAACGGCCAGATCGTTTCAAGCGAGCAAGACAGAAACGTGTCAAGGAAATAAAGCGAGAAGTTGATGGACTGGTCATACCCGCGCGTAACAAAGCACTTCCGCTAAAGGTGCGTGTGACCTGCTTTTGTCTGAAGTATAGCGCTAACCGCATGGTCTTCAGAATGTCATCCAAGGGTCGAAGACTGTGGCTGCTGCTCTTGCTGCTGCTCTTGGATCATCCACCTCTCCGACGGATGCATCTCATTCCCAAGCTGTTCCGCAGACAGAGCAGAGAGCTGAAACTCAGGAGGAGCGGACAGGATCCATACGTTCTTGAGGAACGAATGCGACGGCAACTCAACCAACACCCTCGAGG